TGTGAACTGCTGTATGAAAAGTGAATTTACTCTGTAAATCTTCACCCAAATCCTAAAAAAAAAAAAGAATCCTGCAGGGAACTGAAGCAGCCATGTCCCTCTGCTTCCTGAATTTCTCATCAGTCTGCGGTACAGCCTCATGGCATGGCCTCCTCCGAAAGCCTAGTGGATGGTGTGACAGACCTGACGTGTAGCCCCCGGGCGGCTCTGGCTGGCTCTCAGTGACCTGTAGCCACATAGTTCTGTGTGGATTGAATTATGTCCCCAAAATAAGTGTCATAAACCCTACCAGCTGCACTTATGATGACGATCTCATTAGGGAATGTGTCGTCTTTGTGACATAAATGAAGCAGGACTGGAGTGGGGTGTGTCTTGAATCAATCTCTTTTGAGATATAAAAAATATTAAACAGAAGCCAGCAAGCAGAGATTGGGGGAAGCAAGATGCCAAGACACAGGGTGACCTTCAGGGAACCAGGAAGCAGAGGCTGAAGAGACAAGGCCCCTGCACTGGAGCCGACCAAGGAAGCCTTCCCTGCCAGTCCGGGCTCTCAGTTCAGGCTTCTAGCCGCCTGACCCGAGAGAGGGTGATCCCTGGCGGTGGTTCCGTGCAGCAGCCCTCAGAACTGAGATGGCTTCCTCTTGGAGGAGAAACTGCTTCTCTCCTGACGGCACAAATGGCCAGAGCCACTGTCGGCTCCCGGTGGTTCACGGCCACCGCCCTCTGTGGTGATGCTGGTTTAATATCAAAGAATGGCTTCTCCTCATAACAGGCTGCAGTTGTCCCCTCATCGTAGTGGCCAGGATCAGGTCACATGTCCACTCTTGAACCCGTCACTGGTGGGGGTGGACTGAGCCTTAGACCAAGCGGCCTACCCTCTAGGGTGCAGGGGAGGCATGAGGGAGAAATGGGTCCACTGGTCAGACACATGGGCTTTGAAGGAAGCCAGCAGTGGCGCCTAGAGCTTGGGTGGCCATCTCCACCGTATCTTTTCCTCATGTGGATTAATATATGGCTAAATTTTTTGGCTCTTTGATTGCATTTGTAGTATCTTGGAAATTCGAAGCTTTTCTTTAGTGTTCTCTACTGGGTTTTCTGTAATCTTCTATTTAGCAGTTTCTCCCTTTGCTTTTGTATCTAGAAAGTTCTTCCCCACCTCATTATTGAATAAATGTTCGTCAACACTTCCTTCCTGTTGTTTTATGATTCTCTTTTTCTCTATTTCACTGTTTAATTCATCAGAAATTTATTTTAGTATATGGTATGAGGTGAGGCTAATTTTTTAAAAAGGTAGGCAAGTTAGCCAGTTGACACACCAACATCTAGTCAGGTAATCCTCTGTTCCTAGTGAATTGGAAGGTCACTTTATCATATACTAATAACTCTGGAAGGTCAAGATAGTTTGCCCAGGAGGACATCCCTAAGACATGTTTTTCCTTCCCTCTTCACCATGTTAGTATCTGGACCCTGTGCTCTGCCCATGAAACTTGTGCTTGATGCTTGAGGGCTTGTCACTGTGGTGGAAGTGCCAGGTAACACATCATCTCCTGCGAGCTCTTCAGGGCAGGCACTGTTTGTCATCATTGGATACTTGGTGTCTCACATGTGCTAGGGGACACTTTCATGAGTGAATACATGAAAGGGCTGCTGCTGTCCCACAGATGAAGAAACGAAGCAAGGTCCCACAGGGTGGCATCATGCCACTAGAGCCCCAAAAGAGCCTCATACACTCAAAAA